ACGCGCGGTATCGTCATATAGGCTAATATCTCGCGAACGATTTGAGTTACATTTCTAAAATTCTAGATACATATAAACACATGTCTTAGCTAGGGTTTCTGTAAATTTTATATGCGTTACACACACACACACACACACACACACACACACACACACACACACACACACACACACACACACGCCTATATATATATATATATACGTATAGCTAGCTATATATATAATCAATAGCTCTTATTAGTATTTATTAGCTCTTGATATAATAACTATTCTACGTTTAAGAATTAACATGTATAAGAATTATTACACATTTCGTATATACATTCTTATACATCCTTCTTCGTACAAATTGTATACAATCTTTTAAATTTATATATATACGCTTATGGTAGCTATATATTATGGCTCAATATAACACTCGATTTACACGAGTTTGATTTACGCGTTTTGGGAATAACGCAATCAATCAATCAATCAATCGACTTTTCAATTGAATTGTCTTATATTATGATGAGTAAGCTTATAATTGACAGACTCCTGACGACGAGTGATCAGGAGCCTATATATAGCATCTAGCACCTAGAAGGAGGGATGTGGGCGGTGATGGGCGCATCCATAATAGCCACAGTGTAAGCCGGGCTCCAGTTACGAAAATACACACTACGCACGTTTTTTGAGGATGCATTGCTTTCACGTAACCCAGTTTTAAGTGTTGATGTGTCCATAATAAACAATCCAAGTAAGCGTACAGAAAAATCACAATAAACACACACACGCAGTGCGCACACGCACGAACTCACGCACACACACGAACGCGCGCACACGCATCCTAGCACGCGAACAAACAGTGCCGTAGCTAGCGCGGGTGGGGTTAATAAAATGAGGGTTTGCAATCGCTGATTATAGAGGGAGTAGGTCATTTGTGTGATGCATTTGATGCCACTGTTCTCTTTCTAAGAAATGCTTGTTGTTCCAACTGAGACGTCATCTCCCCAACATGAAAGCGCCTATATAATGAAGGTAGAGGCTTCCCGATTTTATTTCGATTTTGGAAATACCAACAATGGCATTTCCAATGAATCTGAGATAATTCTTACCCGAAGTTATGAATTTTAATTAAACCAGGAAAATAATGTATGAGAAACAGCTTTATATTGAACCCGCAATCTACAGCTATTACGCATACACTGAATGTAATATAGAGTTGTCGAAATTGTTAGGTAAAATCGTGCTCACTCGTATAAACCAAGCATGAAAAAATTCTAAAAAGAGGTCTAACCATGGAGAAGGATAGATCATAGGCGTCTCATATATCTTGTGTATCTGTGTACAGCACCGTGCGTGTGCTGACAGAGTCTGTGTTGTAATGGAGCGACGCTTGCGTAGAAATATTAGGCGATAGAGAGAACATAAATAGCAATTTCGTAGTAAATATAACTCACAGTCATTAAACATAATTTTACAAGCAGAAAAGCCCAAGTGTCCATAGGCAAATGCCCGTCACATGTGACTACCCGCATTTAATAACGTCAGACGAGCTAAATGCAGCACATAAACACAATACTCACCATAATACGCATTTTATTACAAAACACTACGGGTTGCTTCGAGAGTACAGATGACCGAGATGTACAGCGCATGAACAATATTTAATAGCAAATTGATGAAAATTATACAAGAAGTTCATCACACGCATATGGAGAGTGGTGGAACTGGATAGGAGGATGGCCACTGGGAAGAATTTAATAGGAGGATAGGCAGACGAATGGCTTCTCGGGAAAAGTTCAGAGAGAGGACGGTGAACAGCAAAAGTGGCCCCTGGATAAGGCTCGGGGCCTGGGGGGAGGAGGGTAGGCAGGAGGAACCTTATAAACAGTGACGGAGAGAAAAGGAAGTACGCGTATACTCAACTGTGTGTGTATACTGTGGTTCTCTCTATGCGTACGTGTCGTACTGTGTGCATGTGTGCGTGCGTGTGTTGTGAATGCGTGCGTGCGTGTTGTGTGTGTACTGTGGATAGCACAGTGTGTATAACTACGGCTGTATGTGTACGGCCTATACTGATGCTGCTCTTGAATGAAATACGGGTAAGATAATACCACGTAATAAGTTAACATACGTTTTCTTCTTACTCCAGAATCGATGAGTGTATTGCAGCTATACGTGTATACGGGACAAATAAACATTCCAGGCGTAGGCTAAAATAAGTGGAAGGTGACTAGAAGATCGAACCCCTGGGGTAGGCAACAAGAGGTGAAGACTGAGTGACAAGAGTATGACAGTCTGTAGGAGCGTACAAAGAAAGGAGAGCGCAAGGCCAGTGCCCCAGTAACAGATGACAAGATTATAAATAAGTTGTTTCAGGCTATCAAGCAAGAGTGATGGTCGTGACCTTTCACCTGAACATCTTTACCTTATCACACAGTCACGACATAGCTAAGTTTAATTTCAGAACAAACAACGACAAGATGAAACTGGCTGGCTGTTGCGGCAGCTACAGTTGGCTTGCTATAATATAGTTAAAATAGATATTGTATACAGTTCCTATATATATAATATCAAGAGTAGATAATAATAATTGTTAACAATTGTTATTATCTACTCTTGATAATATATATACATCTTCGGAGTTAGAATTGGATATGGATGCATGAGTGTATGGATACGTAGAGGGGCGAATAAGAATGAAAGGATCATTCGGCCATTCTACTTTACCTACAACCTACGTGCTACTAGACCGCTATCCACAATAGGCAACAGCATGATTCGCATTATTGTATCAAAAAATTCAATACTATCAATAAATAAATATAAAGGTTATACATCTGAAAGAATTCTGTATGATTACATATCTGAAATATAATACCATACAGTGAAATAAATGAGAATATTTAAAATGGCATAGCATATAGCATTTCAGCATAATAAACATTAATATTCAATTCCGCTCGTACAGGAAATGTATTACACAATATAAGTAAGAATGGACTATTGAGATTCTGACAACTTAATAATGCATAAATATTGATATATATATACAAGCATAGACATTTTATTGGTGGGTAAATGGTGTAGGTAATGCATCGAACATATATCCCACACTTGTTTTTCGTGGTCAGAGAATTCAACTGTGTACACAATTTTTAGCTCAGATTTCTGAAAATTTACCTCTCTGTAGGCTTGTATTTGTTATATGCTATAAATACTTTACTAGTAACTATTCTTGGACGGAATGACAAAAGATACATCGTATCACAGGTATTGCACAGAAGTGGATGGAATATGGATATGAAAGCTCCTCTTAATATGCTACGTGTGTCCTGCTGTATGTATACCTATAAATCTACTGTGCATAGTGATAGGTACCATGGCAATTCTCTAGTATAGCTATGTACTATAAATAATTCATGTTTCATGGGCGAATGCTGATGGTAATCGAAGTATAGGATGCAAGCTCACAACATAGAGAAATGTTCTTGTAGCTTCTCGAGCAGTTTTTTGGAGTCTATATGTTCAGGGAAGATGTCTAGAGACTTCTTCACACCTTTATAACTGCTTTGTAGGTCTCCAATCTAGCCAGAAAAGAAATGATATAACTCCATTACCGTTAATTACACAGGTACGTGTGACACGTTGAGCTAGCGCGAACCACTTAACAAACTCTAAACTTTAATCCGAACTCAACCCTAAGAATGAATGTAGTACATCGAAGATTTTAAGAGGCTTAATAAATATTAAGAATTTCACAGTGAATGACGAACAATAAAGAATTTAAATATTATTATATACATCATACAATTTGAAATATGCTTACAACATGAACCAAGAAAAAATATAATAAGCTAAACATTAAAATTAAAGAACCATCTATTGGTTTAACAACTAAAATTTAACCTACACTTCAAAGGAAATTATTAAACTTCCAGATTTTTCACAATGACTAAAAAATCATAATAGCACGAATATATGTATTAGAAATTCTAATATATATATTCGTAATAATAGCAAATCTATACATCACTATAACTATGACACTCTACCTACCTTCTCTGACAAAGTGGCAAAGTTATAATGTGGTTCAAACAGATGAGGACCATTTTGCATGGCTGACAGAAAGCAAGACTTGGCCTGTAGCAATAAGAACCAAAGTGTTAATTATAATGAAGATCCGACATTTCATTCATGAGTACTGGAGAATATCAATTGTATTAGGCATCATTCTTTAAATAATAGAGTTACAGATCATAGCGACCTTGGATTTATTACCTGATCTATATGTGACCAGTTCATCTCCAATACTCCCAAATTGTTATATGCCTCTGCATGATCATTATTGGAGGCAAGTGCCAACTTCAAGACCTGGTAGGCAAGACTGGTATCACCTATCCCCTGAAATGCAATATCGATAGTAACAACAGATCTAGCAAGAGGCCTATTAAATATTCTCTCTCTCCCTCTACCTCCCTTTCCCTCTCTCTCTCTCACTCTCTCCATCTGCGCCTCTCTCCCCTATCCCCACTCTCTACCCCGACTCCCCTCTCTCTCTCTCTTTCATAAATAGGCATCTGTTCTATAGAGATGGTGTACACTAACATAAGTTTCGAGACTCGTATATACAGGGATGTAGATTGGAAATTTAATTTTCAGCCTGAAAATTTTAATTAGCAAAACAGAGGAAGCTGAGCATGGCGCAGGCAGTAGGTCATCGCCATGCTAGGGCGGTCCGGGGGCTGCCTCGCCCGCGGCAATTTTTTTAACAAAGAATGGTGGCAATTTGTGGCATTTCTACCAGCTATTCTGACACGATTATAGGGAGGACTCTTGAAATCACCTGTTGTTCAATGTTGTCAAAAGCCGAACAACACGAACTATAATAGTGAAATCGGGGGGGGGGGCGGGTATTGAAATAGGGCGAAATTTTTTACTTAAATGCTCTAGACATAGATGATCCTTTTTCTGTTTCCGACCCGTCGCTTGCATTTGTTTTACTCAACATAAGCTGCCTTCGATGCGACCGAGATTGTGAATGATAAAAAAACACAGTGCCGAATGACAGTCAGTGCATGAGTCATGCACACAAACATGCAGCACAGACACACAGCAACGCGTACAACCCCCCCCGGCGCCTGCCGCAGGCCTGGCATGGCGTATACTGACTCAGGCAGCTACCCTGGGTCAAATGTCCCCCTCGTATCTGCGCCTCTGTGAAACGGGATTTTCTCTTCATGGTACGCAAAAACAGAATACACTGTAGTAGCTTCGGCACGTGTCAGCCTAGTCTGTCTACACTCCTACCAGTCTACAGTCAGGTGCTGTTGAGCGGTAAGAAATTTAATTTGTTAGCATTGTTACCCGCATCGAGCCCCTGAGCGCCGCGGGCCCGGTGTCGGTGGCCGCCGCGGCCCCCCCCGCCCTCCCAGCCACCACCACCGCTCACAATTTTCCTCCCGGCCCACGAATTTTTAAGACAGTTACTCACAAGAATGCCCGCACACCGGTCGGCCCGCTGGACTCGTCAAAATCCCCGGCGATTTTCCGCGGCTCCCCACAAACAGCAAAGAATACTACAATCACCTGATATAATATAAATCAATATAATAATATATAAGATTATAGAAAAAAATAACAACATTGCGAGCAAAATATACGTTGAAACTTCATTCATGCTGATGAGAAATCTCACATACCAGGGCAACATGAGCAATATTGACCCAGATATCTGCCATCAGCTCATCGGATGCCATAGAGAGCGCACGCTCAAAACAAGTGAGCGTCATGTCATACTGCTGGGCGTAGAAGCAGCACAAACCCAAGTTGTTGTAGAGCTCAGCATTATACACGCCCATCTGTAGCAGTCGTCTTCAAAATATAAATAAATATAAACATTATTGCATAAAATATAACACAAAATGTTTAATATAATGATGATAAAACAAAATTAAATATATCCAGCTTATAAGTTATAATCAATGTGACATTATTGCTGCCATCAAAATTTTTCCATCAACACTGATATCGTACTAGAATTACGAGTGTTCTTTGATTGAGAAAGGTAGAAGTTTAGTGTTTAACAACAGGTGAATAATGCTATCCACACTTCATCCTGAAAGCCTCTTCGTAAAGAAAAGTATTGGAATTGTGGCAGAGCAGTTTGCAAATCAAGACAAAACATACATTTGTTTACAATTATTATATGCATTCGTAGAGCTATCACACGTACCTGTAGTATCTCAGTGCAATTTCCGGCTGGTCTGTATAGAAGTGGTTCGTTCCCAGGCAAGCGATGGCTTCGACGTTAGTGTTATCATTCTGCAGTACCTCTTTATAGTATTTAACCGCATTGTTTAGGTCTCCCAATCCCTAGATACAAAAAGCGTGGCAATACATGATAACTTGTGAAAAGATACTAAACATGGAGACCTGCCAACTTAATAAGTATTCGACAATTTGACAGCCTTTGGCAGAAGAACATTTACTGCATTGTGTGACTGATGTGTACTTTGATTCATTTGTTCATGACCTGCGTGTCATATATAGCTAAACATCTATATATTCACCCCTATTTTGATCATTCTACATCATTTTTTCTATTCAATGAACACAGTAGAATTATAAAGCATGGGTAAAACCCATAAAAAGGTGATTATTGTATGATATGAGTTATTAAGAATTTAAGATATTAGGGTAAGAAAAATGAGGAAATTCTGAGTAGTAAAACTGAACTATTTGGCAATATATAAAACATGTAAAACTGACAGAACATCTAGTTCCACGAACATAAATATCCAATGCTACAAAATACGCCACCTCATAAATACGAGCAATGCCGGTGTTGAGATGTGTATCACCAGGAAATGTCTCCAGGCCTCTCTTGAACACATCAATAGTAGTAATCGGCTGATCCAACCTTATGTATACCTGGAAAAGTATGAATGAGCAATCTTCACTTCTTGCCTAATTTTTGCATCAGTTGTTACATGCTCTATTTTAAGTTAATAGCCATTTTCACATCATTCATTTTGTCATATATTTAAACGAAAATCACACCTAAAAACCAATCCTAGCTGAAATGAGGTATGGCAAGAAATCAACAGAAATGGTGGTTGACAGGTTAGTAAGAGCGTCAATTTTCACTTCACATCCCCAACCGTACAACAAAAGATTCTCCCAACAAAAACAACAAGTAGGGTTTAAGATGTAAAGGTTTACCTTGCATAGGTATGAGATTGTGTCTACTGTTTCTTGCTGCTGCAATGCAGATCTGAATTGCTTCTCAGCATCTCGAAACAGTCCCAACCTAACAGGTGTTGATATTAATTATCACAACAATTCTTCATAAAACATGCATTAACATTTTAAACAGTTAACTATAATTAACTGCATGTATATCTTTTATAAATATGTAAATATTTATCCTCATGTTATTTCCCTTAGAAAATAGTTGTATGTGCCACAAGGCAATTACAATGCATATAACATTGTTATTAAAATCAACTGGCATAATTATCATTTAAATTTTGTCCGGTATATATATGTCTACTGTTTGTTTTTATCTATTTCTTTAATTTATGACCTGTAATAACATTTTCCGAGTTGAACTTTCCACCACCAGTCTTTGAATTGTGATGCTTGTGTTGCCATGGCAGCCAACTCTAGTGCCTGGAAATTTCATACAATTACTAATTTATATATAGAATCATATATATATAACAGTAACTATAGGCATCGCGTATAAATATTTCATTGACTATAATTCAAAACTTCTCCTTTAAATAATGAATTACTTAATTATTACAAAGCATGTGAACTTACAGGTGACTTAAAGGTGACTTACATTTTTGACATCATTCTCATGGTGAAAAATATATTCAAAAAGTGCCTTTGCCACATTCTGCTGGGAAGCGTATTTAGAGAAGTTCAATCTTGCCAGGTTAATAAAAGGACCATCTGGGTTCGACAACATGGATGCCTGAAATATCCAAATACCACAAATATAAATATCTGAGCATTGAACTCCTAACTCATTTCTCTCTCAAGCTTTGGAGTAGTTATCACTACAGTTACATCTTAAATACTTTATATGGAATGAAACAAAGAGTATACATCTATGCAAACAAGGCTTTTAGTTGGCTAGCATCTTGTGCAAGCACAAATGCGTAGCCTCTTATCGCAACTGCGCCGTGTGTAGACTTACCGTGCCTAGCCTGACGAATCTTCCTGATGCGCTAGTGACCGGTCTCGCGGTGTGAGCAGTGCGAGGAGTTCTGAGCGCCTGCTCCATCGTGCCGGGTCTACCGGACTGCGTGCCAGGTCGCACCACGCCGCTCAGGGGCCTGCCCGACTGTGACACGGGCCTGCAAAGGTTACAGGACGTAGGATGTGAGGGCAACTCAACTTAAATGCTGAGTTTCACTTTGCCTGGTTGTGCTTTTCACATTTGTATTCACGATGAGAATGAACTTACTATAGTCTCTACTACATCCATGATATCAGGAGTCTATCAATTTATTTATTTATTTATTTGATTATTTATTTATTTATTGATAGACTCCTGATGATATATATTAACTCTGGAGTCCAAATAGGAAATTAATCAGTTAAGCAATAAGCTTATGTGCTAGGCTTCAATCATTCACAAGAATAATTATTATTAGGTTTGATTTGTGTGATTGGAATTGTATCGCTAAATATAAAATGCATGAAAATACAGTTTGTTATTTTGTGAACCCAGAAGAACATGTGGTGAAAATGAAACTGTGCTCATGAGTAGCCAGTCACTTTGATTCCCGTAACTTACTACAGTATGAATAATAGGACTCATCACCTACTAACATGTACTAAAATGCTGTACAAGCTTGCAAGGACTCAATACAATGCTGTCATTTAATCATTGATGAACCACAGAATTATCTCCGACTTGCCGAACTGCTTGGCTAGTAGGCCCCTGTGCAGTCGCCGGGGTGTTAAGTGATGTGCCTGGTCGACTGACACTAGCTATCACATTATCATCCATGAGCATCTCAGCTATTCCCTCCTCATCGTTTTCGACCTCGTCCACATACACTTGCTCCGTCAAAGCACGCATTTTCAGCGCCCACGCTGCCTGTAAGGTACAAGAGAGAGTTCATATATATACTGACTACACGGCATATTTTAGGCTAAAAACAAACCCCCTAACTTACAATAATTATTACAAGTAATTGCAATTTGGGGTTCCTAGTATTAATAATTCTAGTATCTTCTAGTATTAGTCTTTCCATAAAGCAGCGCTGGAAATTAGTGCTCTCTGTGTGAACCAAGCCGAGACAACCAAATCTTGCATCATACAGCTTAATCATGCCAAGACATTGTTTAGTGGCTGATCAAAAACAGAATTCATTTACAATGTTTTTTGATTGTGTTTGTGAATTCTGCTGCAGCCAACCAAAGGGTAAGTGTAAAGTGGTTGATACAAACACATCACTTAACCTATCACTCTGCAAACTGTTCTAATTTCGAAATTCCTTTCTCAAGCCACCTAGTAGGCAAGCTACTTGCTGTGTATTCTGCACAATGGTAAACTGCACTGTGCAATATTAATTTATCAGGGGCTGAAAATAGTGGTGTTTGCCCGCAGGTCCGGGACTTTTCAGCAATATTTTTGGAAGGTCCGAGGAAAGATTTGAAAGGTCCGAATATGTAACAACGTTTGTTTGGCTAATGGTAATTGATCGTTTGGTAACAGTCGGTCCATTTTTTTATACAAAACCAAACATAAACAAACTCACGTTTGCCTTTGTTTGGTACAGTGCATTGTCTGCAGGCATTCTGAGTTACTCTCATGAGCGACGAGTTTATGCTGAAACTGTGCACGCATCGGAGTTAACGTCCGTTATAAACAACCATGCTACTAACGTTGAAGCCCTATCAGTACGTGTAATTTCGATCAGATTTTTGGTAAATTTGACTCTTATACTTTGTATGTTTAATTGTGAATATTAACTATGATACTAGATGTCGACAGTGACCAAAAATCTATCTACTTTTGCTTTATTTCTTCGCAATTTGCAATGGTTTAAAACGATCAGTGCGAGAATTTTGCTCAGAAAAACTAAATATAGCTGAATATAGTCTCACCTGACAGCGAAAATATCACTGATTACACCAACATTCAAAACACCAATATTTTATGCAGTTATAGCATAGAAAAATTGATTTAACCACATCATACCAGCAATACATTTTTTCGAGTCAGGACTTTCAAAAATCACAAATGGTGTCTCAAACAAGCGAACATAATTAAAACAAAGGGGCATCTATTTGTGTGTGATAAGTATTCTCGCTGGCGGTACGCAACGAGGATTTGATCCACTTCTCTCTTCGTCTTCGTTATAGTCCCTAGGACTTTTGAAGACTAATATTTATGAGGTTACAACTTACACTCTTGTTTGTGTTACGCTACTATGCACCTCTGTGTTTACGTCTCACCAAAAATATCTCCGGTGCGATTTTTGCATTACTGTACCCTTGTTGACGTCTCGCGGTACCGCGAGAAAGTGCGAAACATGACAGCGAAAATCAACAAGAGAACGCAAAATTGTAATCGTGCATGATTTTGTCTTTGCATGCGGTTCTAAGACATTTTATTGTTATTTCAAACAATTACTGTTACTCAAACAACAACGGTAGGCATCATGAGAGTGAGAATAAACACTAAAAAACGCTGAAAACAACTCGCAATGATCGCTTTAATGATGTTTTATTTGATGAAAGTCGAGTACTGTAAATTATTGTTAGGTCCGACAGACTTTCTGCTTGGAAATTGCAAAGGTCCGAGCATGAAATCGGCAGGTCCCGGACCTCGGACTTGCTCTATTTTTAGCCCCTGTTGATGCTGCACAATTAAGAAATCCATAAATGTGCATTGCAATTCCCCATAGACAAATCAGTACATTGCACACAAAATATTTTTAGTATTTTTAAAGTAATTAGTACATGTCATACAGCATAGAGTGCGATTAAAATATAATCAAGATGTACTAAATGTAGCTCTACTTATGTAACCCCATCACATGGCTGTACAGCTGCTATACACTGGGCTGAATTATAATACTGATAGCTAGAGTAACCTCTCGACTACGTGAATCGCAGTTCTTTAGCTAATTGCAAATTTGAAGATTTGTCTACTGTGATCTGTAGTGTGGATCTGTCTATTTTATCGACTTTGTCTCTCTTCGTCTTTGATATAGTCCCTTGGATTTAGATCTTTATGAGGTTAATTGCCTGCTTAGTGGTCACTACAGGGAAAATTAGACAAAGGAGGTAATTAATGGCCAGTTTGGGAAAAAAATGCACATGATGGATTCAAATACAGGATGTATTGATATACTTATAGGTATATAGATACAGGATATACTTATCAGTAAATACAGGATATACTTATCAGTGAATACAGGAATATTTTCACAACAGCGATGTTAAATTTGACAATGGCGGTACGCCACTTTGCCTCATATGTTAAAGAAACCCTGCACTAGTTCCATTGCTATTTCAGATGTAATAATATGGATGAGGATTCTGGTTATGTGATCGTTTGCATTTGATAAATGGCTCTATTTGACCAAATTAGGCAAGGCGAGTTTAGGTTTTGTGTTGCAGGCTAAAGCCAACTGATACCTGATATGTTTACTTCGCTTCATTTCTAATGTACGACGAGGTTGCCAGTACAGCCTGGCTCCACTAGCCAGCCATGCTGCAAACAAATTCCTTACCGGAGTCTCTCAAACTTTTCTGTGTATGACATTGGCGGAGCTATGACCTATATGTTTAGAACAGTACTAAATGCAGTCAATTAATTGAGTTTAACTATTCAAGTTTCAGCAAGTCAACTTACTTAAAATTATTTTATTTTTAATATTAATTATTTAATATTTAGTCAGGATTTCTTCTGAGGGAAAAACTAAAGGAGGTTAATGTAATGTTCTGTTTTGGGAAAAAAGCGCACGATGGACTTCAAAGTGGGGTAGGGCATAGCCTAGGCAACGCATGGCGGATGCGGCAGGCGACATGGGGGGGACTCTCCCGCACAAAATTTAAAAAAGTGTTGATGTTCTTATTAGGATTTTCACACAGGGATGTAAATTTGACAATGTCGGTGCGCCATTTGTGTCTCTTAATATAATGTATATTAATATAAGACACCCCATTATGTTAAATAGTGGGCGCCAATTTAGCTGATAGGGTCTATGTCCCCCAGGGTAATGCCGGAACGTACCGCTGGCTGGGTACGGTAGCATATTGTAGCCGTGGGAAGTTGCCTGGTACTGACCTAATAGTAATACTAATAGTGATAGCAATATGACCGGATCGTACCTCGCTCTCTCCACTAACGGGAGTCTACGGGAGTCGGCCTACAGCCTACGTCGCCTAAACCCTATCAGATAGTTACCAGGGTATCGTTCCGGTATATTACCGGACCGTAGCTCGCAGGGTACGTTCCGGCGAGTACTCCTGGGAGGCATAGATCCTATGACGATACTATGACTATGATAGTATGATATGACAAGAAGTGCTTTTGGTTGACTGACTGCTGAGTCCTCGAGCGCGAACAATTTTACCTGATCATAAGGATTTTTTTCTAGTAGCTTTCCACAAGCCGTAGCGCAGTCTTCAAAGCGTCTTCGTCTAAAATAACTGTACGCAAGAAACATTGGGTCCATGTTAAGATTATTATATTATTTTGTTATACACCACAGAGTACAGTATTGTGAGTATATTAACTACTAGTACTATTTATAACCCTTGTTTGGTCGCCAATGTCCACAAACTAAAAATTGTGTTTTGCCTCTCGTGGAATTAAATGAGATGAACTTGTGTTTGTTAAACTCACGTAAAAAGCTATAACCAAAATTGCTGCGTGTTTCGATATATATTAAAAACTTAAAAAAGAAATAATTTTTAAATAGAACTATATGTATAAAAACAGATTTGTATTATTAACGCGATAGCATTCATCATAGAGTGCTAACATGAACAAGTGCTGTCCGTGTGATCTTGTTCCATTGCGTGATGTTCACGCTTGATGTTCACCTGTAGTTTGTCTGAAGGTGGACGGCAAGTGTGACCAGATGCTGAAGCGGGCAGGTTAACTATGATATCGAAATGTTTAAAATGTCTTTTAATATATCCCTATTAAGAAATATAGGGTATAGGCAATATCATTCAAAAACTGGATATTATGGTTACAAAGTCAGAAAAATAACAGACCAGCTAGGAGCAGGTTTGTAAATTGTTTCTAACTACTGCGAACAGTAACCATAATGCCAAAATCATAGTATTCTGATCTATTAGTACTCCTTACTTAGTGAATTGATCATTTCACGTTATCAATCTACATATTAGATGGCGACAAAACCCCGCATAAAATTATGTGTGTAGTCACTTATTCGCAAATGTTCGCAGGCTATTATTGAGGCAT